AGAATTTTTAATTCTTGCTGAAAATGTAATACTGGTATAATATTGATGTGGCCAGGTAAATTTTTTTTCTAAGTTAATGATAGCTATATATATTTTTATTGAAGTATCATTGATGTGCAATTTTATATTGGTTTCAAATATACAGCATAGTTGTTTAACAGTTACCCGTATTATTAAATTCTCACCCCACTAGTGCAGTTACTATCTGTCAACATAGAAAGATGTTACAGAATCATTGGCTATATTCTCCATACTATTCTACTGTCCCTGTGACCAACTTATATTATGATTGAGAATTTTTGTGCCCCTTTATCCCCTTCATACTCCCCATCCACCCACCCCAACCCCTCCAATGGGCCCACTAGTCACTTCTCAGTGTCTATGAGTCTACTGATGTTTTGTTCATTCTGTTTTGCTTTTTTGTTTGTTTGTTTTTAATTAAGATATCATTTTTTTTTTGAGAGGGCATCTCTCATGTTTATTGATCAAATGGTTGTTAACAACAATAAAATTCTGTATAGGGGACTCAATGCACAGTCATTAATCAACCCCAAGCCTATATCTCAACAGTCTCCAATCTTCTGAAGCATAACGAACAAGTTCTTACATGGTGAACAAGGTCTTACATGGTGAATAAGTTCTTACATGGTGAACAGTGCAAGGGCAGTCATATCACAGAAACTTTTGGTTTTGATCACACATCATGAACTATAAACAATCAAGTCAGATATGATTATTCGTTTGATTTTTATACTTGATTTATATGTGAATCCCACATTTCTCCCTTATTATTATTATTATTATTTTTTTAAATAAAATGCTGAAGTGGTAGGTAGATGCAAGATAAAGGTAGAAAACATAATTTAGTGCTGTAAGAGGGCAAATGTAGATGATCAGGTCTGTGCCTATAGACTAAGTATTAATCCGAGCTAGACAAGGGCAACAAAACATCCACGGGTGCATGCAGAAGATTTCTCTCAGAACAGGGGGGGTGAGGTTCTAAGCCTCACCTCTGTTGGTCTCCAATTTCTCTCCTGATGGCCCCCCTGCCCCTGCCTGCGACTGTGCCTGTCTTAGGTTGTTCCTCCCTTGAGGAATCTTACCCGTCTCTGGCTAACCAGTCATATTAATATATCATTTATATACAATTTTATGAAGGTTTCACATGAGCAACATTGTGGTTTCAGCATTCACCCATATTATCAAGACCCCTCTGCCCCATTGCAGTCACTGTCCATCAGCGTAGTAAGATGCTGTAGAGTCACTTACTTGTCTTCTCTGTGCTATACTGCCTTTCCTGTGCCCCCCCTACATTATGTGTGCTAATTATAATGCCCCTTAATCCTCTTCTCCCTCCCCACACCCTCTCCCCACACCCTTCCCTTTGGTAACCACTAGTGTTGTCTTGGAGTCTGTGAGTCTGCTGCTGTTTTGTTCCTTAATTTTGCCTTGTTATATTCCGCAAATGAGTGAAATCATTTGGTACTTGTCATTCTCCACCTGGCTTATTTCCCTGAGCATGATATCCTCTAACTCCATCCATATTGTTGCAAATGGTAGGATCTGTTTTGTTTTTATGGCTGAATAATATTTCATTGTGTATATGTACCATATCTTCTTTATCTATTCATTTATTGATGGACACTTAGGTTGCTTCCATATCTTGGCCATTATTAAATAGTGCTGCAATAAACATAAGGATGCATATGTCTTTTTGAATCAGGCATCTTGTTTTCTTTGGGTAAACTCCTAATAGTGGAATTACTGTGTTAAATGGTATTTCTATTTTGAGTTTTTGAGGAACCTTCATATTGCTTTCCACAATGGTTGAACTAATTTACATTCCCACCAACAGTGTAGGAGGGTTCCGCTTTCTGTGCATCCTCGCCAGCATTTGTTGTGCCTAGTCTTTTGGATGTTGGCCATCCTAACTGGTGTGAGGTGATATCTATTTGTGGTTTTAATTTGTATTTCCCTGATAATTAGCGATGTGGAGCATCTTTTCATGTGCCTGTTGACCATCTGAATTTCTTCTTTGGAGAAGTGTCTGTTCAGATCCTCTGCCCATTTTTTAATTGGGTTATTTGCTTTTTGGGTGTTGAGGCATGTGAGCTCTTTATTTATATTGGATGTTAACTCCTTGTTGGATAAGTCATATACAAATACATTCTTCCATATTGTAGGGCACCTTTTTGTTCTGCTGATGGTGTCCTTTGCTGTACAGAAGCTTTTTAGCTTGATGTAGTCCCATTTGTTCATTTTTTATTTTGTTTCCCTTGCCCGAGGAGAGGTGTTCAGCAAAAAGTTGCTTGTGTTTATATTCAAGAGATTTTTACCTGTGTTTTCTTCTAAGAGTTTTGTGGTTTCATAACTTACATTCAGGTCTTTTGATCCATCTTGAGTTTACTTTTGTGTATGGGGTTAGACAATAATCCAGTTTCATTCTCTTGTATGTATACCTGTCCAGTTTTGCCAACAGCAGTTGTTGAAGAGGCTGTCGTTTCCTCATTGTATATCCATGGCTCCTTTATCATTTATTCATTGGTGGCCAGGTAAATTTACAGTCCACCTTCTTAAGAGTTGACACACCATCATTACTACTTTGAGACAATTTAGATAGAAATAGCTGCTGATTGGCTTTTAAGAAACCACTAAATACTCTATATCATATGCTTGAACTGTTTCAGTTCTTCAGTTTTAACAGTAGGAATTTTTAAAAATTAAAATTGACACAGGTATTCTGGGCATTTGGGCTTTCTGTCAATATAGTAGGACTGAAAAGTATTTGGGGTCTGAATTTTTGCTCATTTTGATTCACGATCTTAAAATCCATAGTACATTTTATAGACTTCACTGAAATTGTACATTGCAGTTTAGGTTAGCATATCAAAATACTAATTCAAAAGTGTCATTTTTATCATTTCATAATTCATCTTAAAACCTTTCCCCCTTTCTTGTCATCACTTCAAATTGGTCAGCAGGTAATACTGCCAGTTAAGTTTTCTACATCTTGTCTAAAAATTGGTGTGGTAGCAGGGAATTCACCACAAAAGTATGACATTTATAATATGTAATTTCTATCACTATTTTGTACTTTAAAGTCATTGTTAGCGTTGATTGATCACTTTCCTCTCCATTTTTATAGAACAGACTTACATAGAACTTTGTTTTTGTAGCCTCATTGATTAGTTCACTAGTAGAAATTCTGTTCTTACCCGTATTTGTCTACTTCTTTACCCACTGCTGCTAAAGAATTTTAGTGTATATAATAGTGGTAGTATTGTCATTATTTTCCTTAATGGTTATTTTATGATTCGTTGGAATAAATTACATAACACTCTATACTGTAGTCATCTGGTGGCCTTGTTAATAATCGTCATTGCTTGGAGTACTTAATACATACAATAAGCATTTTTTCCCTTTTGTGCTAAGAACAGAAATTTTGTTAACTTTTAATTTGAATAGTACTCTGTTCACTTAGTACCAGTAATACTTTTACTGAGTGATTTAGAAAAAAATTACTTTTTTATAGATGAGAAAACCAAACCTGGTGATGCATAAGGAGGCCTGGCAGTGATGACTTGTGGTTCTACCTTGAGGCTTTTATCCCTAAGTAATTTGTAACTCAGATACCTTCTTTTGGTTTTTAACTGGCATAGGTTTATTTCCCTGTTTTAAACTGCAGCAAGCTCTGACAACCTCATGAAGTGTTAATCTTTTGCCGTAGCATGTGAGAGCCAAATAAAAAAGCTGTGTAAATTCTTAGTTATAACACCCTGTTTCCTTATAGTATTTCTTTCTTTAAAAAAAAAAAAAGAATACTAAATTTGTCTCAGATCCTGGGGTTGGATTTACTCATCTGTTTGGCTTAGAGATTGTCTTGGACATGAGAGCTATAGTGGATTAATTTAAGGTGGATTAACCCCTGCAAGTTATTTGCTTAAAAAGTAAGCTTTCCCCAATAGGGAGAAGAGAGTGTGTTGCGAAATTTCAGAAACCTGTAAATAGTAGAACTTGTAAATAGCTTTTTATTAATCCATTTGAGAATGCTGTAATAGAACTTAAAACCATAGCAGTCTTGTACATCCAGTACTGAAAAAAGAATATATATTTCTCACATGGTTCCTAAGCATAATAAACTTGCTTAAACATATCTTTCTTTTAATCTGACTGTGTAGGTAATCTTTTCTCCTTGTCTTTCAACTGATTGTCCTCCTCTTTGAGGATTGTGTTAAACTGAATAGAGTAAGAAATTTGACTTCATTGACTCATGTTTCCCATGTTATTCACAAAGAGCCTAAGCTTGTAAGACTCAAGTAATTTACATAAGATTTCTTCATTAGTCCTTCAAAAATTTTAAATTAAAACTATATGGGAAATTACTTTGGATATTTATGTTTTTCTAAAAATTAGTTTTTCCACTAGGTAGTGGTAGAAGTAGTAATAAGAGTAACAGCAGTGCCACTTCATTTGCTGAGTGCCATCATACTCCAAACTCTGTAAACCTGTAGGTTATTTTTTTAAATCTTAATTCTATGAGATTGGTACTATTGTTATTTTCATTTTACAGATGTGGAAGCTGAGGCTTAGCAAGAGGTTAATAAGTAACTTGTCTGAGGATACATGATATATGTGTGAATCAAGATTTGAATTGAGATCTCTGAATCCAAAACCCATTTGCCCACTGTCCTATTTTTATTACCCTTACATGAATTGTGTTTAATAGTCTTACTAAATTTGAAAAAAATTATTCAGATTTTGCACAGAATGAAATACTTGTCGTTAGGTGGCATATGATGGTAAAAGATTGTTACTTTTAATTCTACATTCTCAGGCCAGGATTTACTACCTTTTGCCATCTCTGGAGGTAGAAATAGATTTGGAGAAGATCCAGACCTAAAATTTAGCTCTTCTAATTATTGCTACTTGTCAATTTTAAGGTTTATATGCTACTCATTTTTAGTTTGACTTTTCACCAGATTTTTTTTGCCCTTCTGCAGCACTGATTCCAGCAGTAGTTCAAGTGATGACTCTCCAGCCCGATCAGTTCAATCTGCAGCAGTCCCAGCACCCAGTTCCCAGTTGCTTTCATCCCTGGAAAAAGATGAGCCCCGTAAAAGTTTTGGTATCAAAGTTCAAAATCTTCCAGTACGCTCTACAGGTAAAATTTTGTGTTCTGTATTTATCTGCTACTTTTTGGGAATGAGACTGAGCAACTTGAATTCTGTGTTTTGTAGTGACAACAGGTTTGCCTTTAGTGGTTCGTAAATCTAAGGCCATGTAAGGAAAAGCAAGTGATTATTGTTAACTTCATATAGTTTCTATTTCTAGGTTACATATTATAAAGATTACATGTTCTTTTACATGTCCCTACTATATGTACATACTGTGCATATTACATACACAAAGGTTTGTACGGTGCATATTATATAAAGAAAGCATGGTTTAATTTTGAGTAGATATGCTTTCTAGACTAAATATTTTGATATAAAGGAAATTTGGTAATGATGAAATTATAGGAGTACCATTCTTAGATTTATTATATTGGCTTAGAATCCTGTGTTATGTGAAATAACTTTGAACATAAAATTATGATAGGAAACCCATTTCAAAATAATATTTTAAATGAGGAAAGTCACGAATAATGGAAAAATCTAGTTAAGAGCTATTCTGTAGTCTTTCCTTTACTCCTGATATTTTTAATTGACATTTGACCATAATATGCTGTCGTTCCTATGTTAGGCATATTTAGTATGCCAGCCACTGTTAGTAGATAGTCAGACCAACAAAGACCAAACTAAGGCTTTCTTAAGCTAAGTGCATTTTAGTAATCCTGCATACCAGGTTTGTGAATAGATATATTGAAACACACATGCTGATTTAGAGCTTTTGATTTAGATTGCTCGGTAATGTAGGAATGGATGGGGGTAAAATGGATAGGGGCTTGTCTTTCTGTACGATTTTAACTCTTACAATGAAGCAAATTAACGCAAGACCCCAGAGGATATGATTCATCTTTGAAAGGTCTTAAAGGTGTTCAGCATGTTACATGCCACTTACACACAATTTTACAATTGACTGATGCCTGAAAAGCTAGATACATGGCTGTCTTAAGTCTTTAAAAGTTGTATGTATGTATGTATGTATGTATGTATGTATGTATGTATGTATGTATGTAAAGTTTTTATTATGAAACTTACAAGCATACATGAGAATAGAGGAGTAGCAAAATGAACTCCCTCACATACCCAGAATTTAAAAAGTCATCAGTATTTTGTCACACTTGCTTTATCACTCTCCACCTTTCTTTCTTCTGGTTCTTGTTGCCTTTTTCTTTGGGGAGGTGGGTATTTTAGTGAATCCCTGATGTCATTTCCATATTGACTTAAAGATACATACTTTTGCATTTGTCTATAAATTATAAGGGCATTTTCCTGCATAACCACAATATCATTCTTACCTAACAAATAACCAGTAATATCTCTAACACCAAGTTTATTTTCAGAATTGTACAGTAGTCTCCATAATGCCTTTTTAGAGTTACTTTATTGGAAGAGTAATATTTTAATGGTAACAAAACTGAGATAAAAAATCAGGTGAACCATTGAGTAGTTTACTGAGTCGTAACTAAAGTAGAAATGCAAGCAACTTGTTTTTGTTTGGCGATTTAGATACAAGTCTCAAAGATGGCCTTTTCCATGAATTTAAGAAATTTGGAAAGGTGACTTCAGTGCAGATACATGGAACTTCAGAAGAGCGGTATGGTCTGGTATTCTTTCGGCAGCAAGAGGACCAAGAAAAAGCACTGACTGCATCGAAAGGCAAACTTTTCTTTGGCATGCAGATTGAAGTAACAGCATGGATAGGGCCAGGTAAGAGGCCGGGAAGCTGAGTTTCAGTGCAGTTTGTATTCCGGTTTATGAAAGGGCAGTGTATTATCCTGAATGTGGACACTTTTCCAGCTTTATTTAGTGGCATACTTCCATTGTCTATTTGAAATAGTGGTGACATACATTGTTCAACTTAATAACAATGTTGTTTTGGTTAGGGAGGGTAAAGATTGTTTTGTGTCTATAAGGGAGAAATGCTGCCTGAAAGACAAGAGTTTAGCCCCTTTTGAGTCCAACCTTCCCAAAAGAATTGAATTGAGATAATGAGATAGTTCCTAAAAGATTGAGGACAGCATTACCTGAATTAGAAAACAAATTCCTTGTTAAGTTGATTTGAGGGACTATTTAGACCAGTTTTATTGCCATTATGCCCAGCACAGATTGGTTCTGTTATACTAGTTCCCATGACCTTGAAAGAGAGTGACAAAGAAGCAGGACTAAGTCTTAATGAGTGTGACCCATTGAGGATTTCAGGGGGACGTTTTATTAGCTTGAGTCTATAAGACCTATTATAAGGCAGGAAGTCTTCTCAAACATGGTTTGGGTCAGTGTTTCTCCTGTTTCAGGACCACATGCAATGCTTGTTTAAAAGGCAGACTCTTTGACCGTGTGCCAGCTTAATGGTTCAGAATTTACATACTCAAGTTGGGAACCCCCAATTTAAGGCAGCTTGTGAGTAAGTTTGTAGAGGAATTAATAGAAACGTTAAAATTAACTCCAACCCATTATGTAGCTGATACAGTTGAACCGTAAGACCAAGACTTGGAGATTAAGCTTAGCATTTTCTTGAGATATTAGTTTTGTTTGACAATTGAAGAGGGAAAAATAGGATTTCCCTGATAAGGACATGTAAATGTTATTTCTATATTAAAACAGGCACAGCATTGTTAGTGTGAAGACTGCAAAATGTACACAAATTTTCTGATAAAACACGGGAATCCAAAGGAATGTTTTTCAAAGGAGTTAGAGGTTATGCCTTCATATTCTGTTTCTGCCAAGTTTGAGATGCACTGCCCTCGCTTACTTAAACTGCGCTAAGAGCAGCTTGGGAGTTCTTAGGAACAGGTCAGAACTGACTTGAAGAGTCCTGTTTAGAATATCATGTAACCTGATAAGTTTTTAGAAGCACATAGAATTATTAAGTAGTGAGGATCTAATTCAGGGGCATTATCAATAGAAGACTGTCTGATCTCTGAGTGGTAGTGCTATCTTGAGATTTTTACTGTAAAAAAGCATTTTACCTAATTAGCACCCAGGATGTTAATTAAGCTTTAACCACCTGCCAGTGAAGATTTTGAGGTTTGTTTGGTTCCGGCATAGGAAAGCTGAAGGTACTTTTTCCACATGGGACAATGTGAAACACCAGTTTAAGGGAATATTTGATGCAGTTGAATCTGAGTATGGAGACTTGGTTGGAATTAAGTTGTTGGATAGTTAAGTCATAAGTGTTTTATATTAAAATGTATGGAGCTCATTGCTTCCTTAAGCAGGGACCATTTAGAATTAAAAAGAACAAATCCAAGACACCCTTTGGAGACAGATCCCTGCTGGCTTTTAGGATTGCTGTGCAAGGTGTTACAGTCCCCTACACATGAAATTGTGGGCTAAAAGATTTTTTTCAGTGACGTATAGTCAATGAGACTTAAATTGGTCATGAAGAGTAAATAGATTTGGAAATAAATGTGGAAAAAACCTTTTTTCTTTCCTAAACTGAAATTTCTGATTTTGAAATTTTATGGAGCTGTTTGGTAGAAATGAAGCCATTACAGATTTTAATGGTTGCAAATCATGCTTTCCTTGCAATTCTGTCTTTTGGACTACTAACCTCAAGATGTGTCTTAATTTTTTAAATTTCATTTTTCTCCCTTTTTAAATGAAATATTCCTAAATATGTACCCACCCTTCGGTAGTTTCAAGAAGACCTAATTGAGCTTGAAATTACCCTGTGTGAGACAGGTATATGAGCCCTCCTGCGTCCATCTGACTCTCTGAAAGTATATATTCTGACATTGTGAAGATTAGCTGAGCTACCATTAGAACATCATACTGGAATCAGGAGTGAAGTGTATGCTGGCTGAGTTCATTCAGCAGCTCAAAAGTTGACAAACAGTGTTGACATCATCAGTAAAGTTCAGTGGCTAACACTAAATACTTTGTTTCAGTCAAGTTGATTAAATATTAACATATTTTGGATGGCTTTGGTTTACTTTAAAGAGAGAGAGAACCTACAGGCTGTATTGTACTTATCAACAACATGTTAAATGTCCCTGCCCTAGACCAAGTTAATATATGGAGCTTCAGAAAAAGCCTGTGATGGAATTAGACATTAAACCAGGGCTTTTGATCATAAAAATAGAAACCTTGAGAGTCACTTAGTCTCTTTCTGTTTGTCATTGTGGACCATGCAACACCAAAAGATGTTTCATAAGTATTGCTTCAGTCAGTGTTAATACAAATATTATTCTTATATCTAAAAATTGCTGCATTTAGACTGCTGGGTTATGTTAATTAGCATGACAAACATAAATATGAAATACTTGATAAACTTTTGAAAAGTAAATTAAACAAATAATGAAGCTGGACTATTTTAATTTGTATTAAAGTTATGTGTATGTCAGATTGTAGTCTTATTCTCCATATTGAAAGCCTTCTATGTAATATTGGAACCCAAGATAAGGCTGAAATAATTACCATTTTTGCTGGGGTTTAACAAATCTATGCGTTAGTGATTATTTCTGAAACAAATCAGTTTAGCAGATTGAAATTCAGTCCACTTTTCTATTTGAAAAATCAAACAAAGTATTACTTCCCCCTAATTTTTGGACAAGTTTCTTTAGCCTCAGCATTCCTCCTTTGCTTTGGAGTTAACAAGAGGCAGCTATTTCTGAAGGTGTGTATATTTTTTCAGAGTGTATGAGTAGCAAAGCCCAATATTTCAGAGATTTAATTTCTGAAATGTAGATTTCCCCATGATATAGAAATATACATTAAAACACTCTCCTCTTCTTTTTGCTCTGTCCCCATCCCACTTACAGAAACAGAAAGTGAAAATGAATTTCGCCCTTTAGATGAAAGGATAGATGAATTTCATCCCAAAGCAACAAGAACACTCTTTATTGGCAACCTTGAAAAAACCACTACTTACCATGACCTTCGCAACATTTTCCAGCGCTTTGGAGAAATCGTGGTATGTTGCCTTTTACAATAAAAACAGTTTTAGATCTTTGCCATAAAACATAAAGCATAATACAAATTATATTTGGAAAGATGATATTCAGATGGTATAATGAATATTTTTCTTAATCACCCTGTGTGTTTTTAACCCTTGCTAAAAGATGACCTAGTAAAATCCATTGGGGAGAGGAGGGAATACTCTCAAACTCATTCTACAAGGCCAACATCATTCTAATACCAAAACCAGGCAGACACCACAAAAAAAGAAAATTACAGAGCAATATCCCTGATGAACATAGATGCAAAAATACTCAACAAAATATTAGCAAACTGAATTCAAAAATACATCAAAAAGGTCATCCATCATGATCAAGTGGGATTCATCCCAGGAATGCAAGGATGGTACAACATTTGAAAATCCATCAACATCATCCACTACATCAACAAAAAGGACAAAAACCACATGATCATCTCCATAGATGCTGAAAAAGTATTCAACAAAATTCAACATCCATTCATGATAAAAACTGTCAACAAAATGGATATAGAGGGCAAGTATCTCAACATAATAAAGGCCATATATGACAAACCCACAGCCAACATTATACTTAACAGCGAGAAGCTAAATGCTTTTCCTTAAGATTGGGAACAAGACAAGGATGCCCACTCTCCCCACTTCTATTCAACATACTACTGGAGGTCCTAGCCACAGTAATCAGACAACACAAAGAAATAAAAGGCATCCAGATTGGCAAGGAAGAAGTTAGACTGTCCCTGTTTGCAGATGACATGATATTGTACATAAAAAATCCTAAAGAACACTCCAAAACTACTAGATATAATATCTGAATTCAGTAAAGTTGCGGGGTACAAAATTAATACACAGAAATCTGTTGCATTCCTATCCATTAACGATGAACTAGCAGAAAGAGAAATCAGGAAAGCAATTCCATTCACAATTGCATCCAAACCAAGGAAGTGACAGACTTACACTCTGAAAACTACAAGAACTCCTGAGAGAAATTAAAGAAGATACCAATAAATGGAAACACATCCCATGCTCATGGATAGGAAGAATTAATATTGTCAAAATGGCTATCCTGCCTAAAACAGTCTACAGATTCAATGCAATTCCTATCAAAATACCAACAGCATTCTTCAATGAACTAGAGTAAATAGTTCTAAAATTCGTATGGAACCATGAAAGACCCTGAATAGCCAAAGCAATCCTGAGAAGGAAGAATAAAGTGGGGGGAATTACACTCCCTGACTTCAAGCTCTACTACAAAGCCACAGTAATCAAGACAATTTGGTCCTGGCACAAGAACAGACCCATAGACCACTGGAACAGACTAGAGAGCCCAGATATAAACCCAAGCATATATGGTCAATTAATATACGATAAAGGAGCCATGGATATACAATGGGGAAATGACAGCCTCTTCAACAGCTGGTGTTGGCAAAACTGGACAGCTACATGTAAGAGAATGAAACTGGATTATTGTCTAACCCCATAAACAAAAGTAAGTTAAAAATGGATTAAAGACCTGAATGTAAGTCATGAAACCATAAAACTTAGAAGAAAACATAGGCAAAAATCTCTTGGACATAAATATGAGCAATTTCTTCATGAACATATCTCCCTGGGCAAGGGAAACAAAAGCAAAAATGAACAAGTGGGACTATATCAAGCTGAAAAGCTTCTGTACAGCAAAGCACACCATCAATAGAACAAAAAGACATCCTACAGTATGGGAGAATATATTCATAAATGACATATCTGATAAGGGGTTGACAGCCGAATTATATAAAGAGCTCATGCACCTCAACAAACAAAAAGCAAATAAACCAATTAAAAAATGGGCAGAGGAAGTGAACAGATACTTCTCCAAAGAAGAAATTCAGATGGCCACCAGGCACATGAAAAGATGCTCCAAAAAAAAAAATCCATTGGGGGCTGTTTTGTATGTGTATGTAAAAACATATATATTTGTATTTTGTTTACACATATATACTGGACCCTTGAACAACATGGGGGTTGAGGTAAACCCCCTCCCAGCTAACTGCAACAAAAACGTAATAAAAATCTGCATATTACTTTTTTTTGGTATCATTAATGTACAATTACATGAGCAACATTATGGTTACTAGACTCCCCCCATTATCAAGTCCCCTCCACATACCCCATTGCAGTCACTGTCCATCAGTGTAGTAATATGCTATAGAGTCACTACTTGTCTTATCTGTGTTGTACTGCCTTCCCCATGCATCCCCCTACATTATGTGTGCTAATCTGCGTATAACTTTTAAAAAAATCTTTTATTAAGGTATTATTGATATACACTCTTATGAAGGTTTCACATGAAAAAACAATGTGGTTACTGCATTTACCCACATTATCAAGTCCCCACCCATACCCCAATGCAGTCACTGTCCATCAGTATAGTAAGATGCCACAGATTCACTGTTTGCCTTCTCTGTGCTACACTGTTTTCCCTGTGACCCCCCACACCATGTGTACTGAACATAATGCCCCTCAATCCCCATCTCCCTCCCTCCCAACCCACCCTCCCACACCCCTCCCCTTTGGTAACCACTCGTCCCTTCTTGGAGTCTGTGAGTCTGCTGCTATTTTGTTCCTTCAGTTTTGCTTCATTGTTATGCTCCACAACTGAGGGAAACTATTTGGCACTTGTCTTTCTCCGCCTGGCTTATTTCACTGAGCATAATATCCTCCAGCTCCATCCATGTTGTTGCAAATGGTAGGATTTGTTTCTTTCTTATGGCTGAGTAGTATTCCATTGTGTATATGTACATCTTCTTTATCCATTCATCTACTGATGGACACTTAAGTTGCTTCCATATCTTGGCTATTGTAAATAGTGCTGCAATAAACATTGGGGTGCATATGTCTTTTTGAGTCTGAGAAGTTGTATTCTTTGGGTAAATTCCAAGGAGTGGGATTCCCAGGTCAAATGGTATTTCTATTTTTAGTTTTTTGAGGAACCTCCATATTGCTTTCCACAATGGTTGAACTAGCTTACATTCCCACCAGCAGTGTAGGAGGGGTTCCCCTTTCCCCATATCCTCGCCAGCATTTGTTGTTCTTAGTCTTCTCGATGCTGGCCATCCTTACTGGTGTGAAGTGGTATCTCATGATGGTTTTAATTTGCATTTCCCTGATGATTAGTGATGTGGAGCATCTTTTCATGTGTCTGTTAGCCGTCTGAATTTCTTCTTTGGAGACTTGTCTCTTCATATCCTTTGCCCATTTTTTAATCAGGTTATTTGCATATAACTTTTGATTGTCCCAAAATGAATGTACTGCTATTGACTGGAAGCCTTACCAATAACATAAACTGTCAGACAATACATGTTTTGTATATAATATGTATCATATACTGTATTCTTACAAATAAAGTAGCCTAGAGAAAATAAAATGTTTTTTCAAACTGTCACAAACCTCTAAAAAGTTTTCCAATATATTTATTGAAAAAAATCCTCATCTAAGTGGGTCTATGCAGTTCAAACCCATGTTGTTCAAGAGTCAGCTATGTATTTTCCTATCCATTTTTCTTACCTCTCTTTGTCCGTCAGGTGCTATTTTAATGTCATCTCTAGGCCTGTGGGTTGCAAGGAATATCTGGAAGAGAAAATGTGTTCATAAACGAAAGAAGAAACAGATTGATTAGTGTATAGTTGTGGTGTTACCACAATGCACATCAAAAGTACCAGGAAAATTACTAAAGGTGGATGTCATGTTGGAAGCTCAGTTCTATTTTGAAATTTTAATTACAAACACTTCTTATATTATGCAAATCATTGTTAGATTTAGGAATAGAAATATTTTTCTGTTCCTTGTGACTTAAAACTTGAGTCAATTTATAGTGAAAATAGTTTGATTGCAGCTTTGTACCCATGGGATATACTGTTTAGTTTCGTGTTTGAGAAATACAGGGAAATTACTTGTTTTTCCTAGACTTTCTCTATATTAATAACGGTGAAGAAATTGCTCTCTAGTATATTTGGATCTCAGAGAGTAAAAAAAAGGTTTGGGGTAGGAACAGCTGTTGTTAATCTTTCAGGTTTGTGTGTGTATGTCCATTTGTCTATCCATCTTTATACACTAATGCTGTAAGCAAAAGTCCTTACTTTTTTTAGTGATATAATCTTATGTGATTAAAACATAATTTGTATTTGTGGCTGATCTAAACCTCATAGGGTCTGTGGGCAACAGATAGAAGACATTGATAAGAAAGTGAAGAAAAAATAGGCGCTATATATTTATAGATTTATACCAACCAAACTTTCATCTTTCTTCCTTTTTCAGTTATTTTGATTTGTTTAAGTTCTTTTATTGTGTAAGAGCGGTGTATACTCCAGTTCTAGCTCCACTGCCTATCCTAATGAGTGACTTGGATTTCACTTATCTCCCTGAGCTCTAGCTTCTTGTCTTTATACAATGATGTTTAATTTTGCTGTTTCATGTTCATGAGTCAGTGAGCTGGTAAAAGTTTCACACATACTCTTACTTGAAGGTAGCTGCTACTTTAAATATTGGAGGATTAGGAAAAGTTGTATTTGGGCCCACAGATGTATTTTTATCACCAGGGTTGCTAAAAATGGAATGATTATTTTAAGAGCTGTGCTTCTCAGTAAGATCGACAAGTCAGTATTCTGTTTGAAAACCTTAATCTCATCATGTTTGCAATTGCTCATGAGTGTCACTGTTTCATGACACAAACTTCGGGAAAATGGTCTGTCACTTATTGATAAGATTATGCTAGAGCTAGAAGAACCTATTAATGAGTCTACCCACCAATATTCTTTGGAGACCATTTCTCTTAAATGGAGTTATCCTGAGTTATTACATTCTCCATACGTGGTGAAAATCGGTTCCTGTTTACCATTACTTAGAGCAATTTTGAGTATAAATTACTGTTTTTTTAAGGGTCCATCAAATAGCTCTTTAAATGCATTATTCATTTTGCACTGTTTCAGGTTTTGATTATTGGCTTGTGACTCTTAAGGAGGCTTAGATAATCACAGTACTTACACTCTCCAATATGTGTCCAGGTCATTATTGTTTAAGTGCAAGGTTTGCCATTCAACTGTCTTTTTTTTCATGTGTAAGCCAGGTTTTTTCACCACCTCCTCTAAGTAGGCAGGAGTGGAGGGTCAGGTGTGACTACAGGTTTCAAGCATTCCAAAGAGATGGGAGTGTTCCTTTATAGTGTTCTTTAATCCAAGGATAGTGTTCTGATACATCTTTAAAAGGTAGTTCAAGTATTTATATATCCATTCATTCTGGATATGAGAGACTGTTAACCATATTTATCAATCACCAGGCTTGAATCCATTAGATATATTGATAGAATGAATCTTCTAATTTAGGGTTGTACATTTTTAAAAAACTTGATTTCATTGTCATTCTTCCTCTTCTCAGATACTGTATTTTAAATGGCCTACCCCTGCTAAGGATTTTAGATATTAGAGAAGGGAATTATTTCTTAGGTTTTCACTGAGTAGGCTACTTTTCCTTTATTACCACACAGGTATTGTGGGTTTTAGATTTTGAATTTTGAGTTGCAGTGCAGTTGGTCTTCTGCAGAAAGCTTCATACAGGAAGGTTTCACTGTGACTACAAATGCTATGTTGAGTAGTTTTTTAGACTCTAACTTTACAGTTGCATTAAGATTAACAGTTTAAATGTTTTTTTTGAATATGTCTTGAGAAATAAACAGTTCATATGGACTTCGTTTATTCTTATTTATTTTCTTGTTGGCATATCACTAAGTAGTATCCATTGGCTTTTTTTAGGATATTGATATTAAGAAAGTAAATGGAGTTCCTCAGTATGCATTCTTGCAGTACTGCGATATTGCCAGTGTTTGTAAGGCCATTAAGAAGATGGATGGGGAATACCTTGGAAACAATCGCCTCAAGGTAAAGGACTTTGCCTAAGTTATTGTGCTGTGTTTTAAGTTTAAAGTTATTTTGTGCTTATGTCTGAGTAGTTAAAATTGCAGCAGTACAGTGAGAGAACCATTAAGGTAGTACACTTCTTTGCATCCTCATCCTGGAGTACTGTAACCCTAATTAACACTTCCTTCCCCAGCTAGGATTACTTTTGTAAATTTCTGTTATATTTTAACTAGATAGTTCCAATTTGAGGTGTTGGCTTGATAAAATTCTACAGAAGACAAGTTTTCTCAGAATTCTGTAGTTGAATAATTGCTGACTTTACTAATAGAAATTTTATCTTTTACATTCAGCTGGGTTTTGGAAAGAGCATGCCTACAAACTGCGTGTGGTTAGACGGGCTTTCTTCAAATGTATCGGATCAGTATTTAACACGACACTTCTGCAGATACGGGCCTGTTGTGAAGGTAGGTGGGGGGTTTTGGGTGTAGTATAAAGTTACTTCTGACTTGCTATTCTTGATATTCTGTCCTTTTAGTCCCAACTTTCTAGAACTGACTTTTTCTTTTTAATAATAAGTCACATGATAAAATTCTCTTTTCCAAAATTTGGTCTAGAAGGGCATTTGTATCTCTTAGCTTCTGAGATGAACCAATTTATTTTATTTTATTTTATTTTCTATTTTTGGTATCATTAATACACAATCACTGATATCATTAATATCAATCAAAATGAGCAACTTTGTTTACTAGATTCCCCCCATTATCAAGTCCCCACTACATACCCCATCACAGAGATGAATATTTTGAAAAACGATTTTAAACCAGCCAAGGTGATTAATTTTGAAGCTAATCTGCATAATATTGTTAGACAGTTTCTTAGGGATTTTTAGTGTTTTTCTTTTTTTATTGAAGTTTCATTGATACGCAATCTTATACTGGTTTCAGTCATACAATACAGTGGTTCAGTAGTTACCTGTATTATTAAATCCTCACCCCCGCCACTAGTGCAGTTACTGTCTGTCAACATAGGAAGATGTTACAGAATCTTTGGCTCTATTCTCCATGCTATACTACCATCCCCATGACCAACTTATATTATGATTGAGGATTTTTGTGCCCTTTTATCCCCCTCCCCCTCTGCACCCACCCACCTACACCAACCCCTTCCCTGTGGTAACCACTAGTCACTTCTTAGTGTCTATGAGTCTACTGCTATTTTTTTCATTTCATTTTATTTTGTTTTTAGATTCCACAAAAAAGTGAAATCATATGGCATTTATCTTTCTTCATCTGGCTTATTTCACTGAGCATAATACCCTCTAGGTCCATCCATGTTGTTGCAAATGACAGGATTTCTTTCTTTTTTTGTGGCTGAATAATATTCTATTTTGTATGTGTACCACATCTTCTTTAGCCATTAACTTATTGATCACCACTTTGGTTGCTCCATTATCTTGGCTATTGTAAATAATGTGGCAGTAAACATAGGGGTACATATATCTTTTTGAATCAGTGATTTTGTTTTCTTCAGGTAAATTACTGGAAGTGGAATATTCATTTCTATTTTTGGCTCTTTGAGGAACCTCCATACTGCTTTCCACAATGGTTGCACCAATTTACATTCCCACCAACAGTGTAGAGGTTCTCTTTTTTCCGTATCCTTGCCAGCATTCTTAGGGATTTTTATAATTTTGTCTTATATTAAAATGAGGCAGTCTGATTATATAATTATTTATATTCACTCTAATATGTAATTAGACTTGGTATTTTTAAACGATGACTTTATAGGACATTCACACAACAGAATATTCATCTAACCAAATGTTTGTTATGTAACTCTCCTACAAACATTAACAGAAAATGGGCATCTGGTCTCATTCTCTTATGTGAAGGTAAAGCTTTGTAACCCCTTGAAAGCAAATTCATGTGTGGTGGGTGTGTTGCATAACTTTGACATTTCTTTAAATGTACCTTTTGTTGTTTGGAGAAACACAAATCTCAACAACACATCTCACAGACTAGTATAAATAAAGATCCAGCAGATTAAAAATAACAGTGTTACTTAAAACCAGAATTCACTGAAATTTGTTATTGATTCATTACTCTACATTTTTTTTCTCTTTTGCAAGGGTGTTTTTTAATTTTTTCAGCCAAAACTAGAAGAATGCTTACCTAAATGCAGTAAGTACTCAGTCAACATGGAAAACAGCATAAAATACAGAAAAACAAAGAGGCATGATATACCTCAAACCACAACATACATGATTCTAAGTCCTTATATATTCTATTGTGTTTTGGTATAACATGCATCATCAAGAAAAACCTGACATTTTTCTAGAATAGAATACATGTTTTTTTTCTTGGCAGTGTCCTTCTGATTTAGGATTTTGTTGGGACTGACACCAAGTCTAGTGGATTCGTCTCTTACTTGGTTTTTGTTTTTTTTATAGGTGGTGTTTGACCGCTTAAAAGGCATGGCCCTGGTTCTCTACAATGAAATCGAATATGCACAAGCAGCTGTAAAAGAGACCAAGGGGAGGAAAATTGGTGGGAATAAAATTAAGGTGTGGAGAATGATTTGAAAATGAAGCAAGACAAAATAGTATTCAGGTCCCTCCCTCTTAATCACAGCACTGGCATTTTCTAGGTGGCTAGCATGGGGAATGGTTTACAGAACATTGAATTGTGTTTCCTCAGTTTTTAAAGGGGATATTACAATTTTTATACTCAGCTACTTTATAGCACAGTTCTTTCAAATCATTAGTCACTGAATCTTCCCTAAGTATCCTCTCATTCAAGAAAGTGTGCCTCTCTGTGCCCCAGGTGCCTGAAGCTCACATACATGCACCTGGTGCATGTAGACAACAGTCATCTGTGGGTACCTGCAACCCAGGAGCTCAAGATGTCGCCCACCTCCCTTAAATGATCCCCCTCTTCCTCTTCTTTCCTCCTTTCCTGAGCAGTGGTTAACCACTGAAAGCATGATCTTTATCTGGTGTTTTTGTCTAAAAACTTTCATTCATGATAGCCTGAAGGAATTTATATACTTAATAACTATGGTGGTTTGATTGAAATGTCTTTTGAAAATAAGATACTGATAGATGATGGGTATCATATGCTTTAGTGACTGATGCCCAGCTGTGTAAGTAAAGTTTAAATGTCCCATTATTTTATTTTATGTTCTAAATTTGGTTCCAGAAAATTTATTCACAGCAAAGATTGCTGGATTTAGTTGATCTGATTATTGACAACCTAGAATCCTGGTAGGTATTATTTCAGTTTTCCATTTTGCTTTTTCCACTTGTTCAGAACTAGGCTGTCTGGTTTCTTTATAATTCTTTATCAAGATTTGTTGTTGAGAGAGATTCAAGTTAAGGACATAGTTTCATTTATGAGGACTATTTCACATAATTGAGGTAAATTGCTCTTTCTTGAAATTTATCCAGAGGGCTATATTAGGAAAAAGTTTGAAAGTCATTAACACTTTCTATCATTAAAATCTGAAACTTGCGTCAAACACCTGCTATTCTTTCTTGTTAAGGTGGATTTTGCAAATCGGGAAAGTCAGCTGGCATTTTATCACTGTATGGAAAAATCTGGTCAAGATATCAGAGACTTTTATGAAATGTTAGCAGAAAGAAGGTATGTATTTTAAACCTATCAGCATAGCTTGAATTTTAAAATGCCTAATACATGAAACTTAGATGGGATTAAATTTTATTTTTTATTCCTTGTTTCTACTCTCATTCTCCCAAAATGCTTCCCTCCTCTTCCCTCATATAGAAAAAAATATTTATTTTTAATGAATCCAATTTTCATGTGGTTCATGGGATTTGGGGTAACCTTTCTACATTTCTCACTGAATGCTCCTAAAATTTGAGTGTTGCATTTTGCTAGATTATAACTTACGCATAAATCATTCTGCCTTATAGTTTTAAATTGAATGTGATAACATGTTGAAGTACATTATAAAGAATTAAATGCCCTGCATATTTAGGAATGACAACATGCAGGTTATCACCATGCATGTGTTCATACTATTAAATTTTTCAAAAAAGCTTTCAAAAGAGCTTTGTTTTAAATTCAGATCTCTTAATTTGTGAATCAGTAAGCCAAAGATTATGTAAATTGGTAGTTCTTGCAATGTAAAAAATAAAGGTTATTTCCCCTTGTTAATTTTCAACCATTGTGTGTAGCATTTGATATTTTTTCTGCTGCTTTAGGAAACTTTACAGTTCAGAATCATTTAAGGTCTCACATTCTTAAATCAGGCTATCTCCATTGGCTTAAAACTGCCCCCAAACTGATGATTAATTCTTTTTCAGACTGAATATATTAAAACATCCTAACATAATGTCATCAAGTGCTTCAATAGTTATCACATATGAAAATGGAAACTATCGTCCATATGATCAAGCTGTTTGTCCAGACATGTCTCTTTGATAAGTTTCCTGGAATGTTACCCCTAGATCTCTACCCCTATACTACATATTTGTTAGACAAAAGGCTAGTGTGAAAATGCCTTTAGATGCTTAGGTTCAAGTGTAAATTATGATCATGCTGCCAGAAATCCATTGAGTGCACTTCCTTTTTCCTGCCTCCTCTTGCCCCTTCATTTTGTGTAAATCATAGAAGATACATATTTCTTTGAGTCATGGAATATTGTGTAATGGTCTTTGAATAATTAGGAGATTTTTAAATGAAAAATATCCACCACAGCCAAATTCCCAAAAGCCAAAACTTGTAAGGTTTTGATGTTTTTTCACTAGCAGATTGGAATCCACATTCCCAAATATCAAAATTCAACAGTCCTCCAGCCAGAAAGTCAGTCTTGATATGAGACTTTTCTGTGTCAGTCATGTGTATGTATGTGTGTGAGTGAAAGAGATACACTGAGAGAAAGAACATAAGCAGGAGAATATATATGTCTGTGGAGAGAGGAAAAAAGTTCTCCATCCTGGCTCCTTCAGGAGCAGTTTGAAATCATTTGTATACTTTAAGGTTTATCGGAATTCTTAGCCATAAGAGTGGAAGATGTGTGTTGGTGGTCTAGTGGCACCTGAGACATAAAAAAAATCCATAAAATACTCTGTGCATACTCTGTGCAAAGAATAATGTCTTGTAAGGGTTGGATAATGCTGTGTTAATTTTCATGTATTACCACTTAAATTCATTCATTTTACTGGTAGCTTTGTCCCGTTCTTACCCATGGGTATTTATTTCTGTTGAATTAATTTATCTCCTAAAATAGAAAGCAGGAGGGTATGGTACTCACTGTGACCCAGTTTTGCCCCATTTGGTTTCAGATGGCAGTGCTTATGGAATGCATTCCTTGCAGTAGAACTTGAGCTTTGCCTTTTCCATAGTGTGGAAGGAAATCATCCCACTGAATAGTTGATACATGAATGAAGAAATGCTTTACCTGTAATGTATATTTCAGCCTAGGAATGCAAACATGACCCAATTGTATAGGGCTCTGCAGTTTAAAAGTAATACTTCATGTATTCCCTCAAATAGTGTGTCAGGGACATAGGGCCTTGACTCTTGTCCTGTGTTACTTATGGTGGGAACTGAAGGTCAGGCGACTTTGCTGATAAGGACACAAGACTGCTAAGCAGATGGACTGGGGATAAACCCAGGGCTCCTACCTTCTAATGTGCATTGAGCCCTACACTTTACCAAAGTGATTCTCAAGGTAAGTTTACAGGGTCACATTATGCTTTGGATTTCCCATCTACTTATGGTAGTTGAATATTTATGGTAGTTATGTAAACAGAGTTCTCTCAAAACCTGGCCTTTCTAAGTTCCTCAGGGACCTGCCAGAGCCTCTTGTGCACAGTACCAGTGCTCAGCTGTATTGTCTCATGCTTAACTTGAGTTCCTTGAGGCAGGAATGCTCGTTTCTTTTGGTAATAATGGGCCCTGCAAATTATGTACAAAATAATCATTTATTAAACTGGACAGTGCTCCACCACTACATACATTTGGCTTCTATAATTTAAAAAAAATTTTATGTAGTTTTAGTTAGCTTGATTTTGAAGATATCTTGAGACTGTTTTTAATATATGACTTCACTCCTGTTAATGTGGACAGTAAACTAGTGACCATTCTGTCTTAATCACTTTTATTAAGAAGGCATATGGTGTGGATGAAAGTGGTGCTTTCCTGGAGTTTGTATTTATGATGGTAGTAAGTTAAACTAGCCTAGTTCCATGTGTACTAACATTTATTTGCAAGCTGGCAGGCCAGTATGTACGCAAAGAACCTGATTCCTGTGGAAATGTAGATGATCATCTTGAAATGAATTAAAAGTATCATAGATGTCATAAAGTACTCCCATTGAACTGAGAAAGTTCAGTATAAATTCATGTAGTAATGTGTTATTGATGTTCTAATGTTAGGTTTAGATCCTTCATTTGCTGTTGAAAACAGATTAGAATCCAATAGCAGCTCTGACATAGTTTTCTGAGGTTCATTCTTTCAACAAATATTTGAGTGCCTGCTATGAGACATGCACTGTTAAAAGAATTAAAGAAATTGTGTGGCCAAGAAGGCAAAACCTCATGCCGTTAGGGGCTTAAGTTTTAGACTTGTTATGTGTCAGTAAATCACTAATGACAGCACTGTGTAGAGTGAGCAGGCCCCAACTGCTTGAGAGAACAAACATTGAGACTAAACCAGAGCATGAAGGAATTGGCCTCTGTTGCAGGTGAATTTCATTTTAGACCCCATACACGTTCTTGTATATAAATCTAATTCTATTTGAATGCCCTGGCACATGTCACTGTGGGAGGAAACCTATGGTGAGCTCCTGTACCATTGAGGAATCCTCTCTCAAGGCTTGAAATCATCCAATTTGTTAGTTGGCAGGTTAGGGAGAAGTAGCATTTACTGACAGCAAAGTGCATGGCTTACATTATGTAAGCAGAGGTTTTACAAATGTCATTTAATTTTCTAAGAGCATTAAGGGGAAAAGTGAGGAGACTGAGCCCAGGGAGACTGGCCCCCAAGGTATTTTTAAATTATGAATTAAGGTAGAGGTATTATCAATATCATAAGATCACATAGGTGGCAAGATTTTAATTAAATTATTATCTATTTTCCCAAACAGTGCATTTGTTTCCAAAGCTGTGGTAAGAATATCTTTTGGCAGAAAAGAAATCATGAAAGACTTAGGAATGTGGGAATGTGATACCATCTGATACCAGTGCTTGTTGCAAGGCATCACTAGCAGAAGTGTAAAGGAGAGAGAGTGCTGCTGTCCGACAGAAACGCAATACCACTGTACATGCACTTCAGATGGTCTAGTAGACCCATTAAAAACTAAAAAGAAAAAGTGAAATTAATTTTAACTCAGTATATCTAAAATGCTATAATTTCAACATATAATCAATTTAAATAAGTGACATAACTTTAAAAAAATTAAATCTACCAAATTGAATCTGTGTTTTGCATTCACATCTCAATTATGACTGGCCCAGTTTTAAGTGCTCAGTAGCCATATGTGGCTAGTGGCCACAGTATTGAACAGCACAGGTCTAACTAGTAATCAAATAATGGCAAAGATTTTTAGAAGCAGGACATTGTAATCTCATCTGTATGATTTAATATGTAAGTGACAAGGAAACAAAAGAACTAACACATACTTTTTTGTTTTCTGACAGAGAGGAACGAAGGGGATCTTATGACTATAGCCAAGATCGCACATATTATGAGAACATTCGTACTCCAGGCACTTATCCTGAGGATTCCAGACGGGACTATCCAACTCGAGGGAGAGAATTTTATTCAGAATGGGAAACTTACCAAGGAGATTACTATGAATCACGGTATTATGATGATACTCGGGAATATAGGGACTACAGAAATGATCCTTATGAACAAGATATTCGGGAATACAGTTACAGGCAAAGGGAACGAGAAAGAGAACGTGAAAGATTTGAGTCTGACCGGGATAGAGACCATGAGAGGAGGCCAATTGAACGCAGCCAGAGTCCAGTGCACTTGCGACGCCCACAGAGTCCTGGAGCTTCCCCCTCACAGTCAGAGAGATTGCCAAGTGATTCTGAGAGGAGGATTTACAGCCGATCCTCAGACCGGAGTGGAAGCTGTAGCTCAGTTTCCCCTCCAAGATACGATAAACTTGACAAATCTCGTTTGGAGCGCTATACAAAAAATGACAAGACAGATAAAGAACGAACTTTTGATCCTGAGAGAATGGAAAGAGAGAGACGCTTAATAAGGAAGGAAAAAGTGGAAAAGGACAAAACTGAAAAGCAGAAACGGAAAGGAAAAGTTCATTCCCCGAGTTCTCAGTCTTCAGAAACAGACCAAGAAAATGAAAGAGAACAGAGCCCTGAAAAATCAAGGGTTTTTAATAAACTGAGCAGAGAGAAAGCTGACAAAGAAGGAATAGCAAAAAACCGCCTAGAACTCATGCCTTGTGTTGTTTTGACTCGAGTGAAAGAAAAAGAGGGGAGAGTTATTGACCATACTCCTTTGGAGAAGCTAAAAGCCAAGCTTGACATTGACATTGTCAAGTCTTCTGCCCTAGATCAGAAACTTCTGGTCTCTCAGACGGAGCCTACAAAGTCTGACTTGTCTAAACTGGAGTCTGTTAGAGTCAAATTGCCAAAGGAAAAGGGTCTTTCAAGCCACATAGAGGTGGTAGATAAGGAAGGCAGGCCTAAACCCAGGAAGCATCTGAAGCCAGAGCAGACTGCCGATGGGGTAAGTGCTACAGAGCTGGAGAAGCTGGAAGCAAGGAAAAGACGTTTTGCTGATTCCAATTTGAAAGCAGAAAGGCAGAAACCAGAACTCAAGAAAACTAGTCCAGAGGTGGAGGATGCTCGCATGCTTTTAAAAAAGCAGCCTGACATACCATCTAGAGATGTCATTCTGCTGAGGGAAGGAGAATCTGAAAGAAAGCCTGCGAGGAAGGAAATTCTGAAAAGAGAATCTAAAAAAATCAAACTGGACAGACTTAATGCTGTTCCTAGCCCTAAAGACTGTCAGGAGCTTGCCAGTATTTCTGTTGGTTCTAGGCCCAACTCAGACCTACAAGCAAGGCTAGGAGAACCAGTAGGTGAATCTGTGGAAAGTCAAGAAATCCAACCAAAAAAACCCACTGCTTCAAAACCACAGCTTAAACAGCTACAGCTGTCAGATGATCAAGGACCAGAGAAAGAAGATATTAGGAAAAACTATTGCAGTCTTCGTGATGAAACACTTGAATGTAAACCAGGCCAAGAGAAACCACATTCAGTAAATACTGAGGAAAAAATTGGCATTGATATTGATCACACACAGAGTTACCGAAAACAAATGGAGCAGAGTCGTAGAAAACAGCAGATGGAGATGGAAATAGCCAAGTCTGAGAAGCTTGGCAGTCCTAGAAAAGATGTAGATGAATATGAAAGGCGCAGTCTCGTCCACGAGGTAGGCAAACCCCCTCAGGATGTCACTGACGACTCTCCTCCCAGCAAAAAGAAACGGATGGACCATGTTGATTTTGATGTCTGCACCAAAAGAGAGCGGAATTACAGAAGCTCACGGCAGGTCAGTGAGGATTCCGAAAGGACCGCCGGCTCTCCCAGTGTCCGACATGGCTCCTTCCATGACGAAGATGATCTCGTAGGCTCCCCCAGGCTCATGTCAGTAAAAGGGTCTCCTAAAGTAGATGAAAAAGGTCTCCCCTATTCTAATATAACAGTCAGAGAAGAGTCCTTAAAATTTAATCCTTATGATTCTAGCAGGAGAGAACAGATGGCAGACATGGCCAAAATAAAGCTGTCTGTCTTGAATTCTGAAGATGAGCTAAATCGGTGGGACTCTCAGATGAAACAAGATGCCAGCAGATCTGATGTGAGTTTTCCAAACAGCATAATTAAGAGAGACAGCCTTCGAAAGAGGTCTGTACGTGACTTGGAACCTGGTGAGGTGCCTTCAGATTCTGATGAAGATGGAGAACACAAATCCCACTCACCCAGAGCCTCCGCATTATATGAAAGCTCTCGATTGTCTTTTTTATTGAGGGACCGAGAAGACAAACTACGTGAGCGAGATGAAAGACTCTCCAGTTCTTTAGAAAGGAACAAATTTTACTCTTTTGCATTGGATAAGACAATCACACCAGACACAAAGGCTTTGCTTGAAAGAGCTAAATCGCTCTCTTCGTCTCGAGAAGAAAATTGGTCTTTTCTTGACTGGGACTCCCGATTTGCTAATTTTCGAAACAACAAAGATAAAGAAAAGGTTGACTCTGCTCCAAGACCTATTCCATCCTGGTACATGAAAAAGAAGAAAATTCGGACGGACTCAGAAGGAAAAATGGATAATAAAAAAGATGATCATAAAGAAGAAGAACAGGAAAGGCAAGAATTATTTGCTTCTCGTTTTTTACATAGCTCAATCTTTGAGCAAGATTCCAAGCGGCTGCAGCACCTAGAGAGAAAAGACGAAGAATCTGATTTCATTTCTGGTAGGCTATATGGGAGGCAGGTATCTGATGGAGCAAACAGCACAACTGATTTGATTCAAGAGCCAGTAGTTCTTTTCCATAGCAGATTTATGGAACTCACACGAATGCAACAGAAAGAAAAAGAAAAAGACCAAAAACCCAAAGAGGCTGAGAAACAGGAAGATGCAGAGGATTATCCCAAGACCCCAGAATCTACTTCTGAGAACAGAGAGTCTGAACTGAAAACTCCATCTTCAACCGGACCACCGCCTAGTGTCACTGTTGTAACTCCGGAGTCACCATCGTTACCACTGGAGAGGACAGTTACCACTAGTGAAAAAACAGGAGAGGTGCCGTTGATGACAGAAGAGAAGACCACGGAGCCGGCCTCTGTCTCCGAAGAAGCAAAACCTGTGTCTGACCTGGCTCCCATTGCTGCGGAAGAGTCCGACCAAGTAGATTTGCCCCCAGGAGTGGACACCAATAAAGATGCTGCCAGGACTCCACTGGTTGTTGAAGAAAGTTCATCAGTTGACCAGCTGCCTTATTTAGATGCCAAGCCTCCAACTCCTGGGGCCTCATTTTCCCAGGTAGAGGTCAGTGTAGATCCAGAACCTGACAGAATCCAACCACTTTCAAACCCGACTCAGAAGCCTGAGGAAACTGACGAGCCAAAAGCGGAAAAACCGAGCGCACCTGCTAATGTTGAACCTGATGCAAATCAAAAAACTGAAGCTGTTCCTGAGGTTCAGCCTCAAGCCTATGAAGATACAGAGATTGATCCTCCAGTTGCTACAAAAGAAAAAAAGCCAAACAAAAGTAAGCGCTCCAAGACCCCCACCCAGGCAGCTGCTGCAAGCCTCGTGGAGAAGCCAGTCACGAGGAAGAGCGAGAGGATAGACCGGGAGAGACTCAGGCGGTCCAGTTCTCCTCGTGGGGAAGCACAGAAGCTCTTAGAATTGAAGATGGAGGCAGAGAAGGTTACGAGGACTGCATCTAAAAACTCAGCTGTGGACCCTGAACATCCCGAGCCAAGTTTGCCCCTCAGCCGAGCAAGGCGCCGGAATGTGAGGAGCGTCTATGCAACCATGGGTGACCATGAAAGTCGCTCTCCCGTGAAGGAGCCTGTCGAGCAACCTAGAGTGACGAGGAAGAGACTGGAGCGAGAGCTTCAGGAGGCAGCAGCAGTGCCCACCACCCCCAGGAGGGGGAGGCCTCCGAAAACACGCCGTCGAGCTGAGGATGAGGAGGAGACGGAGACGAAGGAGCCCGTGGAGACACTCAAACCAGCTGAGGGATGGAGGTCCCCCCGGACCCAAAAAACAGTAGCTGCTGGCGGCCCACAAGGGAAAAGGGGGAAAAATGAGCCCAAAGTTGATGTTGAACGTTCTGAGGCCACCACTGACATGAGTCCCCAAGTAAATGTGAAAGAAAATAACCCAAAATCCAAGGTCGATAAAGAAGAAGCAGGAAGCGAACATAAACGTGACAAAAAAGAGATCAGCACAGACAAAAATTCCTCTGACACCCTGCCAGTTGAAGTGGTGGAGAAAAAAACAGCCCCTGAAAAAAACTCTAAGTCAAAGAGAGGAAGATCTCGAAATTCTAGGTCAGCAGTGGACAAATCTGCAAATCTGAAAAATGTGGAAGCCAGTGTCAGCCCCAGTGTGACTGCAGGCCCTTTGGGGCTGGCAGAGGAGAAGGAAGCTGGGGTCGTGGCAGTGTCCCCTGAGAAGAGTGGGCATCCTCAGGAGGAAGGTGGTACATCATCCCAGGTGAACAGTGAACCAGCTGATCCAGACAAGGAGCTGGGGAAGGAAGATATGACTGCCTCTAAGCCGTCCCCAGAAGCAAATCAGTTAGCCAGGCAGATGGAGCTGGAGCAGGCCGTGGAGAACATTGCAAACTTCACTGAGACGGCCGCCACCGCCTTCAAGGCAGCAGCCACAGACACATCAGAGGGCCTCTCCACAGAGGGCAGGGACAAGCCCCCACACCAAGCAAGTGAAACAGAACTGGCTGCAGCCATTGGCTCCATCATCAATGACATTTCTGGGGAGCCAGAAAACTTCACAGCACCCCCACCTTACCCTGCAGAATCACAGACAGATCTACAGCCCCGCTCTCAGGTCCTGCAGCCACCTGGAGAAGGAATGGAGCCTGAGACCAATGAGGCTGTGTCTGGCATCTTGGAGACTGAAGCTGCTACAGAATCTTCTGGGCCACCAGTCAGTGCCCCTGACCACTCAGCAGGCCCTGCAGACACCAAGGAAGCCAACGGGAACAGCAGCAAAATTGCCCACCCAGTGCCGGAAGCCAAAGGATCTAAAGAAGCAGATGTTGTTCTTGCTCGGAAAGACAAAGGGCGCCAGAAGACGCGATCACGACGCAAACGAAATACAAACAAGAAAACGGCTACTGTAGAGAACCGAGTCCCTAAGCCTGACCCAGTTCAAAGCAGGAGTCCTGCCACAAATGAGGGGACCACGGTACAGCCCTCAGAAACTCCGGAGGAAGAAAAGCAGGCTGAGAAGCCCCCACTCACCCCTCCAGAGTCCTGTGCTTCTGACCCCAGCATAGTTCCGTCTGTGGAGAATTTGTCCCAAGAAAACGGTGTTGAAGAAAAGACTCCAGCCATAGCACCCTCACTCCCAGACCTTCTCCCACCCTCAGAGTCAGCCCCTGTGGAGGAGGAACCTCATGCCAGATTCAAGGTGCACTCTATCATTGAAAGTGACCCGGTGACCCCACCGAGTGACCCCAGCTTACCCATCCCCACAATTCCTTCTGTGGCTGCAGCAAAGCTCCCACCTCCTGTCACCCCTTTGGGGCTCCCACACCAGAGTCCCCCTACTAAGGTGACAGAGTGGATCACAAGGCAGGAGGAACCTCGGTCTCAGTCTGCCCCATCTCCAGCTCTTCCCCCAGACACAAAAGCCTCTGACCTTGATACCAGCTCCAGTACTCTGAGGAAGATCCTCATGGACCCCAAGTATGTGTCTGCCACGGGTATCACTTCCACAAGTGTCACAACTGCCATCGCAGAGCCTGTCAGTGCTGCACCTTGTCTGCATGAGGCACTGCCCCCTCCCGGTGAATCGAAGAAGCCTCTTCTGGAAGAAAAGCCAGCAGCTCCAGTCACCAACACCTCCGACACACAGGCCTCAGAGGTTCCAGTGGCCACTGACAAAGAAAAGGTGGCTCCTGTCATTGCTCCTAAAATCACTTCTGTCATCAGCCGGATGCCTGTCAGCATTGACTTGGAGAATTCACAAAAAATAACTCTGGCGAAACCAGCTCCTCAAACCCTGACTGGCCTGGTGAGTGCTCTGACCGGCCTGGTGAATGTCTCCTTGGTCCCAGTGAATGCTCTGACCGGCCCAGTGAATGCCCTAAAAGGCCCTGTGAAGGGCTCAGTGGCCACACTGAAGGGTCTGGTGAACACTCCTGCTGGCCCTGTGAACGTCCTGAAGGGGCCTGTGAACGTCCTGACGGGGCCTGTGAACGTTCTCACCACACCGATGAACACCGCTGCAGGAGCAGTGACGGTCACAGCGGGGGCAGGCACTGCTGCTTCCGGTGGTGGGACTGCCACAACGGCAGGTGCGGTGACGGTGGCTGGTGCAGTGATCGCACCATCAGCAAAGTGCAAACAGAGATCCAGCACCAGTGAAAACAGTCGGTTCCACCCGGGGTCTATGTCTGTGATCGATGACCGTCCGGCAGACACAGGCTCTGGCGCCGGGCTGCGTGTGAACACTTCCGAAGGCGTTGTGCTCCTGAGCTATTCCGGGCAAAAGACTGAAGGCCCTCAGCGGATCAGCGCCAAGATCAGCCAGATCCCCCCAGCAAGCGCCATGGACATTGAATTTCAGCAGTCGGTGTCCAAGTCCCAGGTCAAAGCCGATTCTGTCACAGCATCACAGCCCCCGCCCAAAGGTCCTCAAGCTCCTTCCGGCTATGCAAATGTGGCCACCCATTCTACTCTGGTATTAACTGCCCAGACGTATAACGCATCTCCTGTGATTTCATCTGTGAAGGCCGACCGCCCGTCCTTGGAGAAGCCTGAGCCTATCCACCTCTCTGTGTCTACCCCTGTCACCCAGGGCGGCACAGTGAAGGTTCTCACCCAGGGCATAAACACATCCCCAGTGCTGGTTCACAACCAGCTGGTTCTCACCCCAAGCATAGTCACTACTAATAAAAAGCTTGCTGACCCCGTCACCCTCAAAATAGAGACTAAGGTCCTTCAGCCAGCTAACCTGGGGTCCACTCTCACCCCCCACCACCCTCCTGCTATGCCCAGCAAACTGCCCACAGAAGTGAACCACATCGCGTCGGGGCCCAGTACCCCAACAGACAGAACGGTTTCTCATTTGGCGGCCACGAAGCCAGACACACATTCTCCTCGCACCAGTGGGCCTGCTCCGTCCCCGTTCCCGAGGGCTTGCCACCCTAGCAACACCACATCCACTGCTCTCTCCACTAACGCTACAGTCATGCTGGCTGCAGGCATTCCTGTGCCTCAGTTCATCTCCAGCATACACCCAGAGCCTTCTGTCATCATGCCACCCCACAGCATCACCCAGACTGTGTCCCTTAGCCACCTGTCCCAAGGTGAGGTGAGGATGAACACGCCCACGCTGCCCAGCATCACCTACAGCATCCGGCCAGAGACACTTCACTCTCCTCGGGCTCCTCTGCAACCCCAGCAGATAGAGGTCAGGGCCCCACAGCGTGCAGGTACACCCCAGCCAGCTACAGCCGGTGTCCCTGCCCTGGCCTCCCAGCACTCTCCAGAGGAAGAAGTGCATTATCACCTCCCTGTGGCTCGAGCCACAGCTCCTGTGCAGTCAGAGGTGCTGGTCATGCAGTCCGAGTACCGCCTGCACCCATACACTGTGCCCCGGGATGTGAGGATCATGGTGCATCCCCATGTGACAGCAGTCAGTGAGCAGCCCCGGGTAGCAGATGGGGCAGTGAAGGTGCCACCAGCTGGCAAGGCCCCTCCACAGCCAGGGAAGGATGCTGCCAAGACAGCAGATGCCAAGGCAGCCCCCACCCCTGCCCCTCATGGCGAGGCCCGCATCCTCACAGTCACCCCCAGCAACCAGCTCCAGGGGCTGCCCCTGACCCCACCTGTGGTGGTGACCCACGGGGTGCAGATCGTGCACTCCAGTGGGGAACTGTTTCAGGAGTACAGGTACGGAGACATCCGCACCTACCACGGCCCGGCCCAGCTCACTCACACGCAGTTTCCCGCTGCTGCTTCCATGGGCCTGCCTGCCCGGACCAAGGCACCTGCTCAGGTGAGAGCACCAGCAGTCGGCTCCTGGGCCCCATAGCGGCTGAGGTGCCAGCAAGGCCCAAGAAATAAGTTGCCTTTTTTGTGGGTTTGAAGAGCAGCTTTCTAAATTTCGGGATGAAGGGGTCAGGTCCCTGCATACAGCTCAGAGACTTGAGAAGGAGCTCTTTGTGGGAACAGGTGGAGTGGCAGCTCCTGCCTGTGGGGGGGAGGGGGGAGGGAATGGGGGACATCCACCAGGACCCTCCATCTGGAGTGCCCGAGCACATCACCATCTGGTTAAAGCCCCTTTTGTGGGCCTGGCTGATAGGACATGCCCTGCATCCGACCCTGCCCAGGGGCCCATGGCTGGTTGGTTATGGGCAGGGTGTTGTGCGTAGCAGACTCTGACTCTGTCGCCTGTCTTCTCTCCCATCCCCAGGGCCCCACTCCTGAAGGTGAGCCCCTGCAGCCTGCCCAGCCTGGCCAGCCCACACAGCCTGCTCAGCCTCCACAGCCCATCCAGCCCACCCAGCTTAGTCAACCAGGCCAGCAACCCAGCAGCAAGATGCCTCAGGTCTCCCAGGAGGCGAAGGGGACCCAGACGGGAGCAGAGCAGCCTCGCCTCCCACCTGTACCTGCAAACAGGCCAACTGAGTCTCATGCCCAGGTTCAGAGGGCACAGGTGGAAACAAGCCAGACCTCCTATCCCTCCCCTGTGTCTGTCTCCATGAAGTCTGACCTCACAGCACCTCTGCCTGCTCAGGCTGCTCCAAAGCAGCCGCTGTTTGTCCCCACAACCTCAGGCTCCAGCACCTCTCCAGGACTGGCCCTGCTGCACACTGAAGCCCAGCCCACCCCCAAACAGGATTCCTCTCCACACTTGACTTCCCAGAGGCCTGTGGATATGGTCCAGCTTCTGAAGGTAAGCCTGGGCAGGGGCCTGTCCTGCTACCCTCCAGGCTTTGTGCTGTGTTTACTGTCCTGAGAGCCCCACTTGACTTAGACTAGCAAGCTGCTCCCTGGGGCTGTGGCCAGCGTGGCTCTGCTTTCCAGCTGTGAGCTCACTTTCTGTTTGTTTCCCTGTGAGCAGAAGTATCCCATCGTGTGGCAGGGCCTCCTGGCCCTCAAGAATGACACAGCTGCTGTGCAGCTCCACTTTGTCTCTGGCAACAACGTCCTGGCCCATCGGTCCCTGCCTCTCTCCGAAGGAGGTCCCCCACTGAGGATTGCCCAGAGGATGCGGCTGGAGGCCACACAGCTGGAAGGGGTTGCCCGAAGGATGACGGTAGGACTGGGCCCTGCTCCATCCACAGGGCGGAGGGTGTGGGCGGCCATGTACCTGTGTCCTGGCCTGTCGTGGGGTGCAGTAATGGCATCCTTGGAGCAGACCAAGAGGGGTATGTTCTGTCACCCCTGGGAATGTAAAATGCCTTCAGACCCAGAAACAAGGCTTTTTTCATTTCAGCAAGCTATGAGAGTGGGCTTTAAGGTAGTCTCAGAGGCAGGAGCTTTTGTGGACTTGGGAGCCAAATTCCCTGGGCTGGACATGCCTCTCTTTGCATGGGCTGCTGTTCTGTGGGGCAGAGGCCCTGACCGCTGACGGCTGCCTCTGCTCCAGGTGGAGACAGATTACTGTCTGCTGCTGGCTCTACCCTGCGGCCGTGACCAAGAGGATGTCGTGAGCCAGACCGAGTCCCTCAAGGCTGCTTTCATCACCTATCTCCAGGCCAAGCAGGCAGCGGGAATCATCAACGTTCCCAATCCCGGCTCCAATCAGGTCAGCCTGGGGGCCGGGGCCTTTTGGTGCACAGCAGGAGGCTGGTCTCAGCTGGTCAGGCAGTCTGACTAGGCTGGTGGCATAGGCAACAAGATGCCAAGAAGAGTCGTCTAGGAAAGCCCTGGAGGAGGTGGGCAAAGGGCAATCTGGGTGGAGGAAATGAGCAGAGTGTATGGGCAGGGCCACCATTGCCCATCCTGAGATAGCCAAGGACAGCTGGAGCAGCAGGGTTTTCTTTGGCTTCATGGTATAGAAGAGGTTCCCAGGGAGTGAGTTCACATTAGTTTTCTGACACCTAGGTGCTTTCTGGTGGATGAAAGTCGCGGAGACATTAGCTGGTTGGGAAACGAACTCAATCTGGCTCTCTGCCTTGGGCCTCCCTCTTCCGGGCCTCCAGGTGGAAATGTTTTTAGGAGGAATGGTAGTGGGGTGGGTGATGTGAGCCCAGGGGTCCCACTTTGCTACCCTTCTCCCTTCTCCAGCCCGCCTATGTGCTGCAGATCTTTCCACCCTGTGAGTTCTCTGAGAGTCACCTGTCCCGACTGGCCCCTGACCTCCTTGCCAGCATCTCCAACATTTCTCCCCACCTCATGATTGTCATCGCCTCTGTGTGAGCCACTGAATGGTCACCACCGGTGTACTTCCCTGAGGCTCTGCTGCAAAAAATAAACATAGGACAACGTAGCCAAGTGGAGGAAGAAGCTGCCAAAGGGGACATACTCCACTGCCGCACGCCAGCCTCACCCTCCTGCCCGCCCTCCCGGCTCAGTCGGACATACCCCCCTGGGCAGTGGTGCTGCTACTTGTATGTTTACATGACATTTAGCCCAAGGACAGACCACCGACCGACAGACGCTGCAGACACCTTGGGGCTGGGTGTGCTCTCCTCTTTTTGGAGAGAAGGAACAGGGCAGTGGAATTATTTTTTTGTTGTTTTGTTAAGAAACAAGAGAACAGAACTGCCTTTGCACTAAATTAGTGACTTGGACTTTTGCACAGTGAAGACAGGCTGTGACCCTCTGGATGTCTTGGTGTACGTGAACACACATTGAGGACGCTCACATAGGACTTGGAACTTCTGCTGAAACCCTGGGGTCAAGGAACATTTCATCGGGTTGTTTTGTCCCCATTCCTCCCTTCCCCTTGCTCATTTGGATGTCATCTTCTTTCTTAATTCTCCTGCTGCCACCATCTTTGATTCACCTGGGATGTACAGTTTACAATCGAACAAGAGCAGAGGATTTTCTTTCTTGGTGGGATATGCAGAACTTGGGATGTGTGTATATATAAATATATAATATATATAAATATATATAATACTGACTTAAAAAATCAAATTCCCCTGACATACATTTTTTTTAATCTGTGCCAAAAATGTGTTTTCAGAGAAAATCTTATTTTCATACTCAGACTTTGTATTGTCACTCACTTGTATACGTGCGCTTCGTTTCAGCACGGGCCCTGCCCCCGTGGTTTGGAAGTGTCACACACACACACACACACACACACACACACACACACACACGACTGGCTTCCCCTCTTCCTGATACCTTGACCTCTCCCCGCAACTTCCTAACACTTATTAATTTATGAAACTGTTTTTCTCAGCGCAGTTTTGTTTTGTGTGTCCATTGGATTACAAACTTTATTAAAAAATACAAAACACGTCAAGTGTGGTTGTGATTGTCACTTCGGTGGGAGGAGCGAGGGGCCTTGGCTTATGGAATAGCTGGCCCTCATCCCATTTTTGCTTTCTCCACCCAACCCACCCCAAGTTTGGATATGAGACCTATTTGTTTCCGCCACTTAATTCTCCCGAAGGATCACTCTATCTTAGGGAAATTTCCAGCATGGACTGGACTGAACTGGTTACTGGGTAAGTGGAAGGCACTTCACATTTAGATGCAGAATAAAACCACCCCCACACCAACTCGGCAGCATCTTAAGCGAGCTTTGGTGTCTTTGTCTTCTGCCCCTTCCTTCTCTGGGTGTGGTGATGCAGGCTGGCCCTGCAGCAGCCTCCAGACAGGAGGATGGGTGGGCGGGCCATGCTTTCCCTGCTACTGGACCCCATACAAGCTGGGGAACAGGAACACGGACCACAGAGCTGGTCGTCTCACTTGAAATATCCAGAGTTCCTCCAAACAGACCTACACTTTTGATGCAAGAAGATGGTGCCATCTCCAAGTGAGAGGTTACAGCTGTTGAGGGCGGACTGTGTGGAAAAGGGGAAGAGATGGCGTCTCACTGCCCTGCTGACGTGAGAATGACTTGCTGCTCGTAGTTCAAGCAATGCTGTGCCCCACCTCCCCATCAAAGCTCCTGAATGGTCATTCCTGACCCTTCAGGCCCTCAGCCTGGTGGTGGAGATTCCATCAATCGAGGGCAAGTAACCATTCCCAGAATATGGCACTGGCTTGGCCAGATCCTCTCGCCGGGTTCCTGTGGAGTATGGAGCCCTCCTGCTTCCCCAAACCCAACAGAGTAGGCCCCGGGGCCTCCTGGGCCTGGCTCTCTGCCTACCTGCTGCTCTGGCTGAGTGGGCCCCTGAGCTGGGTGCTCACTTGGTTGCCTGGATCCTGGTAAGCAGCTGTGACCAGCCCCTGCTGTGCTCCATGGCAGACAGGGGAGGTCAGGTCCTAAAGCTGAACAGGTGAGAGGCCCAAAGAGGAAACTGGATGAGGGGGTGGAGTGTGTGGAGCTGCAGTCTCTAGCTCTGAATGTGCTGCCCACATCCCAACTTGGGGCAAAGAAGCCAGCTGGCTTCTAGATAGGTCCCAGGGCAGCTGTCCCATTCCACAGGAGGAAGAGCCTGGCTTTCTCAAGAAGCAGGTCCTGCCAGCTGGTCCCTGGGTGGAGCACAGCTGCCAGCTCCCCACCCCACCCAACAGGGAGCTATAGGCAGCATTAGAAAATATTCAAATTTATTCTCTCTAGGGAGCCGGGCCACGCCTTTCAGTTCTAGGGTGCCATCCATCCTTAAATAAACAGGAGGAAGAGGGATGCCTGCTCACTCAGCAGGTGGTGGACAGTCAGGGGCTGTGGGGGGTGTCTCTGCTAGAGCAGGCTGGCCATCGGCCCCATCCCGAGGGCGGAAGACCAGCTCCCCTGCCTGCAGCACCTGCCCAGCTGGCCACGTGCTGCCCGGTCCATACTGCTGGTAGAAGTCCGCATCAGTCTGGAACATGACAAGTGCCTGGGCCGTGTGGATCCGCACGTGCTGGGCCAGGCTATTGGCATCCAGGAACTTGTCCCCACAGGAGTCACAGGCATAGAGGATGTGGGTGTTGGGGTCTGTGGGAGGTAGGAGGCTGTTGTCAGGAAGGGAAGGACTCTTGGGGTCCACCAGCTCTCATCCCCTACCCCCAACGGCCCCTCTCACCTTCTTCCTGCACTTGCTTCACAGCTTTACTGATCTCGGCTTTCAGTACTTCTGTCTCGTCGGCAGTCACCGCAGCCCCCACTGGTACCACTGTGGGCAGAGTCAGCAAGGCCTAAGGTCAGAAGCACCTGCCCCTTGGTTGTCACCCCGAGGCAAGCTATTTGTGACCACCCTTTGCTGCCCAGAGCCCGCACCTGTGAGCTGAGTGACAGCTGTTGCTGCCAGCGCCTCAGTGGCCAGTGTGACCATGTCATCAACAGTGACCACGCTGACCTCGCCACCCTCCTCTGGCTCTAGGATTTTGATGCCTGCCTTGCCCTGGTGCACAGTCTTCACATGAGAACGCAAGTTGTCCACCCGGTTGAAGCCACGACCGCACTTGTCACACAGGTAAGGCTTCTCTCCTGGTTGGGGAAGGCAAGGTTCTCTCCTGCCGTTGGGGTGTTGGGGGAGGACCTTGTGGCCTTCAGCTTCCCCAGCAGCCCTGTCTTTTCCAGCACAAATGCTCTGGGGTGGCCACCAGAGCTGCTCAGAAGCCCCCAGTGGGGTCCTCATTTGAATTGAACTTCATTTGCAGCCACCTTCAGCAAGTGCCAGCACTCAAGGCTGGGCCCTGGGGACCCTTCCTTCCCACTACTGGACCCTGGGTGCAAGGGCTAGGCCAGGACAGAGGGGCAGGGGGCACACTCACCAGTGTGGATGATGATGTGCTTGGACAGGTCACCCACATTCACGAAGGCTTTGCTGCACACGCTGCACTTGTGAGGACGGATATTGTCGTGGTGGCGAATGTGATTGGCCAGCTGGCTGGACTGGACAAATCTGCGGGCCACAGAGAGAGGGGCTTACACTGAATTGCCCCAGCCAGGGAGCCTGGCCCGGGCCTCCTGCCCCACCTTCTTGGTTGGAGAGGACCCCTGGGACCACCCCCTGGGCTGGGGCAGTCCTCCCAGTTCCCAATTGAGTACTAAATTTGTTCTGTGACCCCTTCACCGCGCAGAGTGCCGAGGGACCCCACAGTGCCTGGGTGGGGGCGGGCAGGGGCGGGACCTCTTGCCGCAGCGCTCGCAGACGTAGGGCTTCTCCCCGGTGTGCTGGCGCACGTGGGCAATTAGGGAGCTGGCCTGGGTGAAGGCCTTGCCGCACATCACACACTGGCACGGCTTCTCGCCTGTGGACACGGGGCAGGTGTTTGGTGCCTGCCCCTTCCAGAGGGCCTTCCCCAGGCCCCAAGAACCGCAGGGGGTGCCACCCACCTGTGTGGATACGGACATGCCGCTGCAGAGCCCCAGGGTCAGCAAACTGCCGCTGGCAGTGGACACACACGTAGGGCTTCTCCCCACTGTGGATGCGAAGGTGCCGCTTGAGGTTCCCTGTGGTGAGACCAAGGGCGGGCCTGGTATGGGGCACCACTGGGTGGTTGCAGTGGGGAGGGGTGTGAGGGCAGCCAGGGCGCCCTCGCCTACCTGAGGTGGTGAACTGCTTTCCACACTCTCGGCACTTGAGGGGCCCGTCCGCGATGTGGATCTTCAGGTGGGCCTTCAGATTCCCCACCTATGCCAGGCAGGGGTCAGAAGGGCCACTCACAGAACATGGCCTCCGCAGCCCCTCCCGCCAGGGAACCCTGGTCCGTGGATGGTGCCATCTTCCTCGCGGCCAACGGCATGGTGCAGGTCCCCGCCATGAAGGGGAAAACTGCCCACCCCCGTTCTTTCTGGCCTGAAACCCATCCTGACTCAAGTGGCTTCCCAGTTTCCTCAGGAGAGAGGTCAAGGGCTCGATCCTGGGCAAGGGTAATCTTCTAATTCTGCTACTATCATCTCCTTTCGTCACTAAGCCGGCCTCTCCGGGAGCAGGGGCTTGCCTCCCCTCCCCTGCCTTCCCCTGCCTGGCCCTCCGCGTGTGGGCAGGGTGCCCCCATGGGGGTTGCACACCTGGTTGAACTTCTTGTCGCAGTGAGGACACTTGTGCTCCTTGTCGGTGTCATGGGTCTCCAGGTGGCGCATCTTGGAGGTGGGGTCAGAGAAGGAGCGGCCACAGTAGTCGCACTGGTAGGGCTTCTCCCCGCTGTGCACTAGCTGGTGCCGCTTGAGGTTGCCCGACGTCGTGAAGAGCTTGCCACAGCCCTCGCAGCGGTAGCGTGCCTCGCCCGAGTGCCGTTTCTTGTGCAGATTCAGCAGGCTGATGAGCCGGTAGCTCTTGCCACACTCCTCACAGCCATAAGGCTTCAGCGGGCTGGTGGTGAGAAGGGGACAGGGAGAGGAGTGGTTGCTGGGTCTTCACGACTGGGGCAGGACAAGGGCGAGGCCACAGGTGGCATGGCAGTGGGGGCCAACCTGTGCGTCTTCTCGTGGGCCTTGCAGGCGGCGGGGTCAGAGAATGCCTTGCTGCACTCCCGGCACGAGAAGGGCTTCTCGCCTGTGTGGATGCGGATGTGCCGCTTGAAGTTGCCCGTGTGTGTGAACTCCTTCCCACAGTCCTGCAGGGCGCAGCGGGAAGGGGCATGAGGGGCTGCACGGGCCAGGGGGCGGGGAGGGCCGGCACCACCTGCGCCGCACCTCGCACTTGTGGATGATCGAGCCATACGCCTTGGACTCTGTGCGGTCCCCGTAGGTGCCTGAGCGCAGGCCGCGGGCCTCAGCACCCAGCTCCTGGCCTGAGTCCGTGCTCGCCGACTCCTCGCTCTCCTCTGGGGCCTCTCCCTTCTCCAGTGGCGGCCCCTCTTCCTTGACCACAGCGCCCTCCTCCTCTCTCCCTTCTCCCTTCCTGGCTGGCTCCACCTCCATTTCTGCCGCGAGAAGGGCAGGCACTGAGGCGCCTGGGAGGGCGAGAAGGGGCCTCCAAAGGACATGCCCTCAGAGCCAGGCAAATGCCAGGAAGCTGGCTTGGCAACCAGCTGTGTCAGGCCTGGGGCTGCTCCCTGCACACCCCATGCCCTCCACGCAGGCAGGCCTGTGGTGCCTGTGGTGCTTGTGCAGCACAGATAAAGGATCCCCAGGCCTGGCCCAGGAAGCGCCAGTGCAGACCACTGTAGGGCACTTGCTGCCTGTGGGATGCTGTGGACCTGCCCACTAGGGACCCCCGGCTGGCTGCACAGCGGGAAGGGTGCTGTCAGCCCACAAGCATTCATTCAGTGGGGGGCAGTGGGCTGCAAGGGTGCTCAGCTCCGGAAAGGCGCATCATCTCCACTTCTGTGCTAACAGGAAGCAGGCCAGGGTGCGCAGCCAAGAAACTCATGTCAGAGTTCCAGAAGAAGAAGAGATGATGCTGACTCAGAGGCTGAAGTCAAGGGTGGGACAGCTAGGTGAAGGCTGCGTGAAGGGATCAGCTGAGGCAGGAGAGGGGCCCTGAGGAACGCGCGGGAGAGGCCAGCCTGGCCGGGAGGAGGGTACCTTGCTCAGAGCTCTCTGACAAGGCGGCCTCAGCTTCCGCAGCAGCCATGCCACTGGTGGGGTCAGGCTTGAGCTCCACCGACAGCGGCTCCCGGGGGGCATCGGCCTTCTCCGTCTGCTCTGCACCTGGGATGGCATGTGGGGACACTGAAGGCTGAGTTGGGACTATCTGGCTAGGGATGACGAATGGCTCTCCTGGACCAGGCCTGGTAGTGGCTACGGCCCGGGCGGTGCGGGGGGGGAGGGGGGTGCTCACACATGCAAACTCATGTTTATGCCTTTGCTCTGGCCGGAGCAGATGCCCCAAAACAAGCAATAGGTCATGCTGGGTAAGTGGAGCTTAAGCGGTATAGCTGCCAGTGCCACCCTCCCTCTCTGCCCAGGAGCATCCCAAGGAAGCCCCTCACTGCACTGGCCCAGGCGTCGGGAAGGCGAAGGGGCAGCCAGCCGGGGCCTCAGCATCACGACTCACCACTGGCCGCGCTCTCAGCCTGGCCGCCTCGCTCCTCTTTGGGTTCCCTGCCTGGGCCTGTGGGTGGACTGCTTCCGGCTGGCTCCAACTCACTCGGCATGGTGGCAGCAGTCTTCTCCTCTTTGGCTCTCTTGTCCTCTCCTAGAGACCGAACAGGACAGACCTGCCATTTCCCATTGGATGCCCACCACTGGGAGGGGTGAGGTGGCCCAGAACTTGCTAGCTCTTCCAGATCCTTCCTTGGGATACATCTAAGGAGTGGTTTGTTGGTTAGTTCATTCAACAAGTTATTCACGGGGCACCTGCTCTACACTGGGCTCGGGAACACAGCCGTCACTGCTGCTGCCTCTGCGAAGCTCACTCATGAGACAAGGACTTTGGCCAGAGGCCAGTGCTTCGGAGAGAAGTGTGGTTCTCTGAGGGTATGCTGCCGGAACCCAGCCACGCTGCCATCGGGGGCTTTTCCGAGGTGGAGGGGAGCAGGAGGAAGGGTGTGGGAACAGAGAGCCTGCAAGGGCAAAGCCCAAGGGCAGAGGCCTCGGACCAGACGTGGCTCCTGGCTCTGGAAAGTAGGGTACAAAGGAAGCCGGTGAAAGGCAGGCAAGGGGTAGGCACAAGGGCCCTCTGAAAGGCCTTCCTCAGACTTCACTAAGCTAATTCTCACCAGCGTCCCACGATGCTGGCAAGGCCAGATAAGGAAACATAGGTCCAGAGAAGGGAGACAGTCCAGAAGAGCCCCCATCCAAAGCCCCTGCCCCGGAGCAGCCTGCCAATAATCGTACCTTCCATGGCCGAGGCCGTTGTACTCTCCCCAGAGCTGGTGGCCGGCTCAGCGAATGACTTGAGGGCATGGCAGGCTGTGATGATGTCCTGCATCTGCAGGAAGCTGGCCACAGCCAGCACATCGTCCACATTTTCAGAGCTCAGGCTCAGCTTGGCTGTGTACATAAAATCCAGTACCTGCCCCAGGCCTGCCAAGGACACAGACAGCCATCTCAGACCCACCTCAAGGAACGGGCACCGGCAGCCTGCCAGCCACTCCACTCAGCAGCAGGATCCAGGGATGTGTGAAGAGCAGGGTGGCAGGTCACCATCTCCCCACCTCCTGTGCTGGGGGAGAGGCAGGCAATGGGATTTTTAGCCTGGACAACAGCCCCCCAAAAGCAGCACACCCACAGAGCACAGAGGGTGTGGACACCCACCGTGCACACCCACCCCACCACAGCGCATCAGCACTGGCTCTCATCAGGGCTCTGCCTCTATCTCCAAGCTCCAGATCAGTCACCTGACCTCTCTGGGTCTCAGTTTCTCCATCTGTAAAAGGGGGGGAACAGCACCTTGTCCCGACCTTTTCACAGCATGTCACAGCATTCTACGTTGGGAGTCCAAATCCTTCCCAAGGCCTTCCTAACACTCCACCTGGCCCCAGCTCTGGCCATCCCTATCATGTTTAGCACTGGGGTAGGAGCCTCAGGACTGACTCAGCAATGGCAAGGGGTGGGGAGCTCAGAGCCACCTGTTCTCTGGCCCTTCTGCTGACCCTGCCCTATGTTCACTCTGGCCTGGAGCTTATGGTGAACTCTTCCAGCCAGTTTTCCCTTTACCACCTGCTCCCAGTCAAAACAGTCCCATTCCCCAAATGTGGCAGGAACTTGGGACCCACATGCTCACATCCTGAATCCTGTGTGGGAGACCCAGAGCACCCCACAGCTTGAAGGTGCTGCTCCCAGGTGGGCAGGGGCTGTGTCTAGTGGGCCTTGCATGGCACAGGGCCAGCCAGTTTCTGGCCCTCAACAACCTTGGCCCTGGACTCAACAGGGTACCTGCCGCGTTACTGATGTCCAGATGCACCACATCCTTCTGGTCCACGAAGAGCATCTTGAAATACTCGCTGCAGGCCGCCAGCACCGCTTTATGGGCCTTGAAGTCAACACCGTCCACCACAAAAGTGCAGTCACACAGAAGCCCCAGCTGCCGCTGCTGGTTCAGCTGCTCCAAGACATGCTGGCTGTGCTGGGGGAAATCCATGGCTGGGGAAAGCCAAAGGGCCTTCACGTTAGCACAGAGAAAGGATGCTAACCGGTCTTGACAGCCAACCCCAAAGCACCCAGGTGAGAACTGCTGGGGAGGTGAGGAGAATTAAAACAAATCCACAAAGGGCAAATAACTCCAGATAGGCTCTGCAAGCCAAGACTGGCCAATAGCACCCAGAAGTTCCCAACACCCAAAAGCATCAAGGGACCAACACAAAGCAGTCACCTATGTGTCTTGCCAGGTAATGATATTAAAAAGTAAAAACCAAACACAAAACATCAATTCCTATCAGCATTTAAAAAAAATAAAACATGGTCAGTTTAACATTGTTTACATAAAGAATGTGTGACAATCACAGAATAAAGGAAAGATCTTTGAACTGGATATATTTGGCTTTGGGAAAACCTGTCTACTTTGTTCTCATTTTTTTCAGTTTGTCCATGCAGGTAACACTGGCAGGCGTTTGGGGGGTAGTTCGGGAACCGGCCCTCTCCTGCTGTGCTCACAGGCCTCTGTGCAGGCTCCCCCAGCGCAATGCCCTTGGGGGTGGGCCCCCCGCTCTGATTCAAGGGCTCAGGGAACTACATGACGTTGGGGAGTTCTCTGCCTCCACACTGTCTCTAGAGAGGGAATGAACTCTGATCCTGACCCCACGAGCTGCTGGCCTGGCTGCAGTTTCTCTGTAAAAGACCTCACTTAATGCCTGAAAATCCCACAACTGGCTCAAGTAAAAATGCCCAGAAAAATTCCAATGAACCACAGCAGTGGTGACTAAATAAGTATCTGAAACAGCTTGCTTCCCCCTCAACACCCCTAGAGTCAGTCTCAAGATCACATTTTCTAGGGAAAATAAGCAGGCCCTCCTTGTGAGAGAGAACCACTTTCAAAATACAAGTTAACAGCCACTTTGGGGGCCACACTGCATAGATCCAGCAGGGCCAGGCTGTCACACCCTGGCCCCGAATCTGTAAGTGGCAGTGTTTTCTCTTCTGGCTCTTCTGGAACCTCTTCTCTGAGGGCTGGTCTGCTCAGGGCTGCCCTGGGCTGTTTCTGGCACGTACGAAGAATGCTCTGGGGCTCTCTGCCCCCAGGTTTCAGCAGACCCTCACTGGCTCTCCGGCTGTTCCCATGTTACAGCTGCCTCTCGGGGGTGAGTCATTCTGCCGCAGCTCTGGAGCCGCAGTGACCATGTATGGCTGTGGGGCTGTTAGGAACCACATTCAAAGCCACGCCCCCCACGCAGCCTAGCCAGCACAGATCAGCTTTGAAGGCTGCAAGGCCCACCCATCCTGTGGTGTCTGGAAGCTTTTCAAAAGTGGTGGTTTGTATTTGCTGAGCTGGGGGAAGTCACCGGACAGGTGGCAGGGCTCCATCAAATAAGGGGAAACGTGGCAGTGGCAACAGGCTGTGCGCCACACTACACACAGCGTGCCAGCCCCTGAGCCGGGTTCTGAGTTGCTGCTGCTGGGGACCTAGAAATACTACTTCCTCCCTACAACACACCCAGGACCATCCCTTGTCCCAGCCTCCACACACAAGCTCCCATCCAGAGCCCTGGCCTCCTGGAGCTCTCTGTTGTGTTGTAAGTGCGTGTGGCTAAAGCCCTTAAGTATAAACTGGGAAGAGCTGGAAGCCAGCCCTGGGTCACGATATGTCACAAGGTAGCTGGGCCCTGTGCCGTCTGTTGAGCAACCCGCTGTGGAGCCAGATCAGCTACTCATAGCACCGAGCCACCTGAGCAGAAACTGCTCGTGACGCGTAAAGGCACCCCCTCTAACACTCTTAAACCCCTGGAAAACGCAAGTTTCGGTGTGACCCGAAGCAAGGGAGAATTCTGGCTACTTTGTTCCGAAGCAGGTAAAAACCCAGAGGTTTTGGAGAATGTGGAAAAGAACCAATGTCCTGCCCATGGGTTAGACCCCCAGGCCAGGGCACTCAGGTCAGGGCCTGAAGGGGATGCACACCAGGCAAGGGGTGCAGGGGAGCAGAGGAAGGTGGCAAGAGAGGCCTCGGCCAAATCAACCCCAGAGCGGTCTCTCAGCAGTGCAGAAAAGCACAGGAGCAGACAGGTGTGTGCATATGCTCGTGGGCGCGCCCCTGAGTCCCAGTCACCAGTCATCCTCCATGTCCTGAGGACTCCCAGGGGAAACGCATCCGAGTACAGGAAGAGAGGGTCCACCAGGGCCAGATCCTCAATCCGCTTCTGAATAAGCCCCTTCATAACCCTTCCCTCCTGGCAGCAGCCTGGCTCCCCCACCTTCACCAGGAGCCAAACCAAAACCTGAGCCGGGAAGAAGTATCTCCCAGGCCCAGGAACAACTAGGAAGTACCCACCAGCTGAGCCCCACTGAGAGCTGCTCCCAGGCCCCCTTGGCCGGAGCCTTCCGAAAGCAGGACCCGCCAGCCACAAGAGGTTTGACCTGCTGGGATGATGAAGTTGAGAAAAACTGGGCCAACAGGGTGGAAAGGGCCTGTTGGCTCAGAGGTCAGATGATTGCCTGGGACCCAAGGCTGCAGGGAGCTTCCAGAGCAAGGGCAGCAAAGCCCAGCTCTCCTGGGGCTGCACAACGGGGCTGCTCTTGTTGTCAGAGGCCCTGGGGGAAGGCCCGCAGAGGCCCCTGGGTGGGGGACACCTCCAGGCCTGCAGCGCCCCCACACGGGAAGCAGCTGTGTGCTCCTGAGTGATGTCCCCCCAAAGCTAACCACACTCTCCCAAAGCGAGTGGCTCCTCCCCAGAGGCGGGTATCGGAGGAGAAAACCAGAGCCTCTGGAATTCCTCTGAGGCAGCCTGTGAGGCTGTTCCACCAGACAAATACTCCTAAAGAAGCATCTGTTCTGACAAAATGAAAGAAAGGAAATGGGACAGGATAAAAGGGGAGGTGGAGGCAGCGAGAGGTAGGGAAAGGGGGAGGAACTTGGAGGAGAAGGCTGCTCGCACAGGACCCACAGCCTGAAACAGGCTCTCGCCCAGTGTGGTCAGCCCCCAGAGGGTGCGCACAGCCCGTGGGGGGCTTGCCAGGGGCTGAATGGGGTCCTCCACAGAGAGCGGCAGCACCGTGGCCTTCAAATCTGCACGTGCCAGGGGCAGAGGAGCTCAGAAGCCCCCTTCCCCTAGGCGAAGTGGTGGGGAGGTGAGGGGCCAGGGCCAGCTTCATCCCTGCCTCGGAGATGAGCCAGAGCTAGGCATCGGCCTGCCTCCAGACCCATGTGCAATGCTCCAGAATGACCACGGCCATCCTCTGGCTGCCTCCCGCTTCCAGTGGCAGCGATTGGGTGCTGCTCCCTCAGCCCACCCTTGTGTGCAGGCTCTTCCTCCTTATTCCATCTTGCTTTGAGGGTGATAAATGTGGACCATAGCTGCTTCCACGTACGACCCTAAAAACTCAGTACAGAACGTGCAAACAGAACAAGATCACCAAGCCCATCAAGCCCAAAGTCCTCTTGCTAGAAGCAGAAAACAAAGTCCCAAACCACAGGGGACTTGCACACTTGGAGGCTGGCGTGAGCCTCCCGCACAAGCCCCTGGCTGCAGCAGGGCTCCCCTCCCACGGCGCCACCTGCTGCTCAGTGGTCCTCCCTGATTAAAGGGGCAAACCTCCGGTGTCAGAGCTGGGATGCTCTCCTGATGGCCAACAGCCTGGCTGCACGCACAACCCCAGCCTGCCTCATTCCCATATGAAAGCAAGAGGGACCTGGGGATCCCCTGCAGCATGATTCCAAACAGACACAACTAGTCAGCAGGGACAGGGATGGCATTGCACTCGTCTCCGAGGCCACCCACAATTCCTCCCATTCAACCACACCTGCTATGCTATGAGATTTCAACAGAACCTGGGAGGCCCTGTGATGACTCTGAACAACAGGATGCAGTGACTCTGTACCAGTCCCAGGCATTGCCCTTAAGAGATCTGGAACAGTCTGTGCCCTCTTGGAACCCAGCCGCCCCACTGCAGGGGTGTCAGGCTTGCCTCTTGAAGAGATCCTATGGAGGGGCCTTGGGGAGACACCAGAGCATACGTGCATCGAGACCGAAGATGCCCCGGCTGACAGCCCTGAACCCTGTATGACAGAGGCCTTCTTGGACCGTGAAGCCCAGCTACTAACTGAACGTTGTCACGTAAATCACCTCAACACAAAACACACCTCATGAAACAAAAAAACTGCCCAGTCAACGCAGAAAATTGGAAGAAATAATAAACTGCTGATGGTTTAAGCCACAAGGTTTTGAGGTGGTTTGCTTAAGTAACTGATACGGATGGCAAACTATAAAGATAAGGGAACGACTAACGTATTCAGGATAACGGTTCTCTCTGGGTGGGAGAAAGGGCAATCAGGGGTCTTCTGAGATACTGGGAGCATTCTATTTTACTTGGATACACCGTATTTTTTTTTAATTAGGGTATCATTGATATACAATCTTATGAAGGTTTCACATGAACAACATTGTGGTCCACACATATTATTAAGATCCCCCCACCGTAGTCACTGTCTATCAGTGTAGTAAGATGCTAGAGAGTCATTACTTGTCTTCTCTGCACCACATTTATTATTTTAATTAAATGTGTACATTTCATACTTCTGTATGGGGATATTTTTCAAATTTTAGTTAAAAGAAAATAAAAGTGCAGTATGGGTGCCACACTAAACCTGTGCAAAGCTGGGGTAGCTCCCAGCTATGCGCCCAGCCACTCTCGCCCTGGGCCTCTGGTGTCAGTGGAGCTGAAAGAGCCGGAGAGGCTCACAGGAGTGGGATTCAGGAGGGTGGCCGCAGAGAGCACAGCCGCCCTATTTGTACTTCAGTTCCAAAACATCTGCCAACAGACTGCTGACATCAGCAAGGGTTCTCCTTGGGTCTGGAAATCCACTCTGCTCAATTCAACAAAGCCTGAACTCTAGTAACACCGGAACGGCATTTATGGGGTCTCTTCAACATGCCAAACAATACAGTGCCACGAATGGCACAGACTGATCGCCTAAAAACTAAGAAATGGCTAGT